TTTCCTTTGTTCCTCCAACTGATGTCAGTCTGCGATGAATAAGAACTTGAAATTAGAATAACGTGTGCGATCAGTGATAGAACAATCACAGTGAACAAAAGTTACTCATCGCTTTGTTAAGACAAGTTGCGAACCACTCGCCAAGAAAATCCTGCTGGCTGACTACATTTTAAAACTGATACTGATGTTAAGAGGTGTATTCATCACGGAATGACATCGGTTGGGGAACCACTGAAAATCTGGGAGCACTGGACAGCTGTTTCGTCCTAGTGTGGGACTTTTTGGCAGTACGCACCGATATCAGTCCGTGATGAATACTACCTCTAAATTAAAAATTCCCATTCATCTCAAAAATACGATACTGATGTTGTTTATAAAGACTGTGTAAATTTCACAGTTGGGATTACGCTGTACTGTCGAAATCGTTCACGTAGGTTACAGATATTCTCCACTGTTTCGAAATGAAAAGAGGTAATAAAATAATGAGCACTAATCAATGAAGGTTGGTCAACTAGTTTTGGATTTTGAAGATTGTTAAGAGTTATTGCATATGCGCCACTTTGATTCATTCTGAACTTAGTCTCTAGACGTTTATTTCTAGCAAATAGAGAAACCATATGATGTAGATTGATGGTTAAAGAGTCTTTTATTCATTCCATTCGTTTGTTTGGTCACTCTTAGCTTTCTTCCTAATGGGTTAGTTCTATTTTGCAGGCTCATTTACCATTTAAAATTAATGACCGTCAGTCGCATCTACACCCAGTTCTCCAAAAGTAGACTTTTATGTAGGGAAGAAGGCAGTTTTAGCTCTCCTTTACATCTCTCCCTAGTTCTTCTTTTTATTTACTGTAGGTTACAACTGCAGTTTGCATAGCTTATCAGATCAAAATTGGAAGCATCGTTTCCCGAATTGTCATCCAGCTACAGACACAATAATTTTTTCAAATTATTTCTCCAGTCTTCCCAAAATTATCTATCGTGCAGTCACTTATGAAGAGAGTTTTCACTTAGGCGGGATTTAATTTGTTGCGTATCAGTATACCTTGTTTGTTTCAATTACATTCGTGTGAGTGTTCAATTATCTTTAAAAAATGCGACGATTTTTAAACAAATCGAATTAAAACAATTTATATGATTTCTTGCAAATATTTGACTGAGTAGTTTTACAAATAATGGGCACAGAGCAAAACGCTGATATTTTTTATATAATGACTGTATTAATATGAGTGTTTGAAATGTATAATTCTAACCTTTCAAACAGATGTTTGGTCCGACCTTCTTTTGATTTTCTTGAAGACGCAGTGACACGACCTCCATGTGAGAAATTGGAACTGTTTATTTCAAGCTTGCTGAAGATTTATGCAATCATTATTCATTTCTAGTGTAAACTGAAATCATTTAAAATTTTAAAGCAGTTTGGTATTTAAGTATTATGGGCTGTTAGAACGTCATAAAATGAAGTAAACTCATGTTTTTTGAATAAATTTAGTGTTCTTGACCTTTCGGTTGTTTTGACTGGCAAAATAGAAATGCAACATTTTTTGAAAAAGTCACTATTTTCACGCACCGAAGTAGTCGCATTCGGTAATGGAACATTAAATTAAGGTGTCTTGGCGAAGAAAAAGTTTTTTGGGACGAATCATTTTCAAAAGCTATACAACTTCTACTATAGTTATTACAAAAGTATACGTCCATTAATAACCAGTGGGTCAATATAAGGTCATCGAAAATTGTCAATATAGTCACAAGGTGGTTATGTCTAGAAGGTCAGCACAATGTCATTAAAAATTGTTTAAATTATTACAGTAAATAAACAAGGATATATCTTAAGGAGATTATAACCAAAGTTAAGTCAAAGGTTGAACATATCTTTTTTGAAAGTATGAGGCCTTTATTTCACTGCTACTATGTATACCCATAAGCATTTGTCTTGGCCATCTAGCTTCAATAGCAAAACTGCCCATTGTTAATCAGACAAGAGAGGTTATAGCACTCAGTCGAACTTTCAGTGTTGCCTGCTGGACAGAAATTATCAGGATCTCACAATATCCCAATTGAAAATCTAAAATTGCTGGAAGCTCATGGGAAGTTAGTAATATGAGAGCTTTCATAAAACTGTAAAACTAAAGATAATGGAAACTATTGTTGCTCTATTGGATTATGATTACATCATTTAAAAGCTAATTCCATGAAAATGGACATTCATATATTTCATCCAGACCAGTGTAAATAACAAATAATAATAAATAAATAATAAATAATAATCATGGCGGCTTTTTGATTAGAATGATTTGTAGTAATAACTAGTATTTTATATCAATCATTCCACAGTACAGAATTATGTTTATGATTAGAATAACTATGGGAAAAGGCTAAGAAACAAATCATCTGAGTTTTATTATGAATATTTCAAAACTTCAGATTATGCGGAAGGAAATAAGGGCTATTTTGTGGCCTTCATAATGTATTTCCTCATCACGGTGTTTTTGTCCGAATAATAAAACTGGGTCACACTCGTTACCAAAAGCTGATAACAACCTAAACGTACTCGTTTTATTCGTTATTTTGTTGACGCATCCCACCTACCACATCTTTCAGTAGGTTTAATGATAAGCTTATTCTTTCTTACAGTGAAATCTTAACATTATAACATGTAATCTACTGTTAGCGAACCTTAGTTTGTATCCAAACAAAAAATATCGTATTATCGTTATGAAGGCAATGTAAATACCACTGTGAATCAAAGACTGTTTGCCTTCATGTATTTATACTATATCACAGTGAAAGTTGCGAAGGTATACCTCTACTTTCGAGTCAAAATTATCATACAACTTCCTTTTTTAATAAGATGGTCGTATTAGATATGAAAGAATCCAGCAAGGAGATTTGAGCTTTTAAATTTTTGACAATTAATAACTAGACTGCTAGCTAATTGATGCAGCTGAATAATCAATATAGTAATGAACCAGATTACTGTCATTTGTGCTTAGTACAAATCTAGTTGAGTCTACAATGTCATCTCAACTTAGATATCAAATTGTACATAGCATTTTGAAATTTTGTTAATAGTTCACTAAAGATATTTCTCCATCTTTGGATGACTACATCTCAACTGATAAGTACCATATGTATGATAGTCACAATCAAAACACCTTACTTCAGTAGCATGAAATTTCTTTTTACTGAACGTAACTATTCTTTTTTTCATTATTCAGAGGGAATGAAATGATCCAGGTAAAAACTACAAAAGTATGATTGTCATCTCTTCCATTTTATTTCACTAGTAATTGCTCAGTTCACGGGGACTTGATTATTTCTTAAAATGTCAGGTTACAGAAAGATATTAAAGATTATGCCTACTCTTTTTGTGGGCAAATCCGGTATTCCTTTGCAATGTTACATGACACAACATTTATTTTAATGGTTTTATTTCAGTAGTATAAATTATGCAAGCAACCAATGATTAAATATTGCAAACAAAGTGAATAAGACACTTTATAGTAAAATTAATTGTTTAAATTTGCAGTCAGTGTAATCCATCAGCTGATGGTTTCAGAATGGCTTATGTAAGCCATACAAACATTGATCAGCCGCAGCTTCAGGTTCCAGTCCAATTTTTACCCAGTCGCACAAGTTTTGTGGGAGGTCGCCACCACCGCAGAGTCGTGAGCCATAGGTAACAGATTCAAGAAACCCATTCTATAAAAAATTATGTAACACCAAACAAATATGAAAGAGTTCCAAGCAGTATTGGACAGAAACATAGTAGGATCTTAGTACAAAAAAAATCAAATATCAATTTGTCAATAATATTTGCAAACACTATATAATTTTCTTGGTAATTTATGAAGCTCATAGTTCAAAATATATTTATGTCACAGTTCACTCCACGACCACACAGTTTAGTCAACAAGACAAGCGTAAATTAAAGACTGCTTGATCATCTGACATCAATTTTGAAGCCTAAGGATGTCATATAAATTGCTTGAAGCCATACATGCCATGAAATCAGCATACTTCAACTTGTTATTGCCTTTAAAAGTGTAGCAACCTCCGAATTATTGCAGAATTTTGTTTACTGTTAATAACTCCTTTTTAAACTTCTTCAAATAAATATCAAAATTGTAGGTGACTGATGCAATTTCATTAGTCAGGTGGTGATACAGTAAACTGTGAAACTGGCTATTCTTCAGCTACGTCAGTTTTTATCATTTCCTGTTAACCGGTAAATTTATCTCTTTCTCATTAAACTCATAGAGAGTACTGCGTATGCACAAACGCAAAACAGACTACTTTAGGATATACTAAGTGATGATTAAAGGTGAGATGAAAATTCGGACCGTGGCCGGATTTGAATCAGTGACCACCGGGTCTCCGGCCCGATGCTCTACCAACTGAGCTACGAGATCCGACTGCTGATCAGATTTCCATTTCGCTTCAATCACCAAGGGTTTTAGAATACTAAGATTAATCAGTCATCCCTTCGTTATCCATCTTCGTGAGAATTACTCTTATCAATGCTAAAGGAGGACATGTCAATTTCATCACTTGTTGAGGTTGAAGTAAATTTGAAAGTTAAATGTACACCAAACATTTCTATATGAAAATTCAATCTTGAATGACGACTGATTCACTAGCATACCAGTAATTCAAGCCACTGATGCTCATAGTCAATTGGAAATTGACTAATCCTAAACACTATGCTAACTAATTTCGACCGGTTAAAAAAATTTCCGAAAACTCTGTGTTCATAAGTAGAGTAAGCATAACTTGCAATATAATCTGGTTGCACGATATTTGTCGGTTATGTTTGCTAAGTTACACAAACATTTCAACTACTTTATGCAACGGTGAGTTGAACACGTATAACAAGTATGGATTAGCTAGGTTTTCATCAGCCTTTTATCCTTTATTACAAAACGAGGAGAAAACGACAGTTCCTTTTACTGTCCGCAAGTATTTTAGAAGTAACGGGATAATTCCCAGGTAATAATAACAAATTAATGAAAATTGCATTTTACTGCATTTCTAATACTCACGGATTTTGATTGTCTCTCCCAAATAAAGTGATAAGAACCAGGCTTGGCATGATTAAAAAATTGCTTGCTTGTAGATTCGATCAATTCAAAATTAATATTTTCACTATGACTATATCTCATAATTGATATATAACTATTATTCCAGTGTTTATCTGCTACCCATTGATAACAGCCCCGTACAAAGTCTAATACACTTGAAATTGGATAAGGTGCATACATATCATCCAGTTTGTTTAGAGGTAACACTAGATTTACACCGTTCACTTCACTATCAAAAGTGGATCCATTTAGACTAACCTATAACAGAAGAGATTATAAATGCTATCCGTTTACAATAAATAATATCACCACAGTTATGATTATATAATCATAATGAAACTCAATGTTCACATATAATCATATCAAAATTAATTTGGAAACACACACTCACAGTTGATAACTGACGGTCAGCTGACTGAAATGCCATGTATATGTGTGTGTAATACACGTTATATGGTATAGATAAAAAGTTGACTTTCACTTCTTTTTCATAAGTTTGCTTGGATAAATAATTAACAGCCTTGTATAACACAGCAGAACTTAGTGGTTGAATATTATTTTCATCGTCTTGATTATTACTGTCTAACATAACACTTTTTAAATGAATAAATAGTAGAACAATACATAAACACTTCATTTTTTGTTGAAAAAGTTGATATCAGTTGATTAAATTAAATTTTATTGAAATAACTTCAGAAATCAGAAAAGTAATATCGGTTACATGAATACTGTAGGTTTTTATAGTGTTTCACTGAACGTTACAAAACAAACAACCAATACAGAGTTTCGTTGACTACAATTAATTTTCAACCATTTTCACATTCTAGGTGAACCTAATGATTGTTACAATTTTTCCTCTCCAAGTTTACCAGCTGATCCGTTTTGTATCTATTATTGTTGTCCATTATATCATTGTTCTGACTAGATGAAACTATTTCAGGGAACGAAAACCGGAGTTAGTAGAATGAGTGTATTTTGCAGTCGAAATAACCGTCTTCTTAAATAAAAACAACTTCCAGTGTTTATGAGATTGTTTAGTCTCCGGTCGCGAAATTCCATTCAGATCATATGATTCAAGTTGTTTATAATTACTATAATTCCTAGCACCACTACGTGACCTTAATGAAAAGTCTGAATGTAAGTTCATTTTCTCGAATAAATATTGTTTTTATTGTAAGCTTAGTAAAACCATAAATAAGATGAATTCTTTCATTTAATTCTATCAGACCTTGTCTATTGAAACAGTAATCGAAGTAAAGAAAATTAAAGTGCAATTATAGAGAATGTTTCTGAAATATTTGTTTATATCTAGAAGTTAACAACTTCAGAGGATGGGGTTTCTCAGAACTTCATTTAGGCATACTATTAAACCCTGCATTAAATGTCTTTTCTGATTCTTTGTACACGAATGCGGCTTTCCATGTCAGTGAGATATACGTGGATACATTTATTAGATAAGGAAGGTTAGAATAGTCTACTATATTTATATATGTGTACTTAAAGCCAATCAACTATTTACTTCGATGTGTACACCTATCTTGATAAACGAAAAGCTGACCACTTTTGATGTTATTCATGCATCTAATGCAGAAGCTGACAGAACTTCAATGGACGAGAAAAAATATAGAAGTTATAATGGCATGTAAACAATTTTCAAAACAATGCTACGTATGATACAGCTCGGGGAAAAAACTCCTCTCTACTCAAAAAGAATACAGTGACAGTGTTACCTATTTCCATCCAGCTGGCCAAGTAGAAGTAAAAATGTTATGTAGTGCGGAAGAAATCATTCATATTAACTAGCAGAAACAGCCATTCCATTGCTTAGCTTCATTAACTAAGAAAGTAGTGAAGAACTACGTCGTGTTCACCTATAGACAGGAATCGTTCACCCGCCTAAAATATCTTCAACGCAATACTCATTCAAATTTGCAAATGACCGAAATTTTGTGTATTTACAAGTTCATAAGGACAGTTAAGGCATGATGCATAAAAATCACAGCTTTTTCAGGGGAAAAACAAACCCTTCCAATCGAATAGACAGAAAAATATTCCACCTGTACTGTGTTAATTATTCTGTTTTGAAACGTCGAAGCAGATACATTCATATTGAATTTCCGTTGAGACCAGCATTTCAATGTGGACATTATTTATGCACTTGAATCTGCTTACTAACTTACTTTATACCGTATAATTTATTCAAGTAGCAACTTTGATCGTTTTTGTTCTTTTAGGTGAAGCTATATATATATTTATAGAGATGGTAGTAAGAAAAGTGACATGTGATAGAAAGCCTTCACTTGATGCTTTTACATCAAAATAACGTGAAATATCGCAGGAAATAAAAACTTTAGATTAATATACAACCATATGTTTTCTTGATAAAAGACCCATGGACGCAGATGCATTTTTTTACCACATATGAATATATAGTTTTACTCAGATAAAACCGTTCGTCATGAATGAAATTTATTTCACTCCATCAGTCGTTCTGTTGAGAACAAAAACGAAAATTTCCTTCAGTTATGTAACAACGAATTAGTTTTTGAAGATATCATAGAAAAGTACTGAAGCAACAAAAATCAAGGAATGGAAAGATCAGGTGTTTAGTCTTAAACGTGAGGAGGTGAGGTTAAAATAATCTTAGTTATATTTGCTATTTCAAATGGTAGCAGTTTTCAACTGGTGGTGGATAGACTTCTTTCCACTGATTACTATTTAATGTTTTTGACAAAAATTTGAAGCGTTACGAGTAATGCTAATTACATGGAGCCATTTGGCAGTAAATCATGGACCTATATTTCATGCATTTTGGCTTTTGTCAGAAAGGCAAATCTACAATGTTGACAGAACTAATGGCCAGTTTCAGATTTAATCCTGCAATTTATGTATTCAGCTTCAAACTTCTCAGTGTTGGTTTAAAATAATTTAAGTTCAGGTTCTCATCATTTCAGTTTTCCCTTATGGCTTGCGAATGTCACCGGCCTTGAGATCTGTTATCTCCCTAATCACACCATATTCCTTCATCATAGTTATGTTTTATGGAGCACTAAATAATAAGGACCATAACTTTGGTTTAGTCAGCAGTCATTTATTAGGACATGACAGCTAAAACATTCAAAAACGTTTTCACAAATGTATGACTACCAAAGCTCAAATATTTACCACATAAACCTTGAATCGTTTCCCGCTCAAAAGAATGGTGTGCTAAAAAGATCTACAGTTACCTCTAAATTTTAAACAAATAGTAATGAATTGAGGAGTAAACATTTATTTTTCTGACTGTAAGTATGGCGCTGGTACATACTGATGATCTTAAGTGAATGGAATAAGAGCATGGAAAGCTTTGTCTGATGCTTCATCCTCGAGATAATTCTATAAGAGGATGAGTTTATTGTGACTCAAAATGACCGCTTAACACAGAATCAAGATATCCAATCTATATCTCACAAATCTTGGACACTGTGATAATAGCTAGAACAAAGTTAAAATGACACGAAGACTTTAATATGTCACTGTTTCATATTTTCTTGTTCCACGTATCTAATTAACTGCTTTGAATACAGATCAAACAAGCTAGAATGGGTTCATTCACCTCAGTGAATATTTTTTGGAACAGCCAGAAGTATTCTGCTGTAATAATACAGTAAATATGTATGCTGTTCTTTGCTATATTAGAACAAGAACCAAAAGAAGTGTTTCAAAACAGGTTCAGCACATTGTGAATGAACTAAATATTGGTAAGTAAATGTTTTGCTCGAATGACAAATGAAATACAAACATGGAATACTAAGTGCAAACCTCAAACTTAGTACAGTCCTTACCAAGATGTGTGAAAAACAAGAAACAAGGTTTTCTTGAAAAATCTTATAGGAATAATTAAGGCTCTTAAGATATTTTGATTGATCAAGTTAAGTGTTTTCAAATAAACAGCAACACACAATATCTGAAATGAAAATCAACAAATAAGTCGTACAGCTAAGTTATCCTACCATTAGAAGTAAATGGCTAGTAGTCAGGTTATGCTATTAGTTAATGAGTATATGGGATTTAAAAGTATGCACGACTTCGGTGATGTATTTCATGACCTAAGAGTTTCTATGGGAAGCATTAGTTCAAAATATAAGGTAATATCATACATCTAAAATTCAATTGTTTCTTACCTCGGAAATTGTGATGCAACTTTGGAGAGATAACATCTTTGTGAAAAGCAGACTGATAGTACCTTGACTGACATTGAAGATAACTGTAATCTCAGGGTGTAGAAATTGCGGGTAAACGGTTTGGGATTATGTTAGTCAGGCGTAATCGAGGTTGCATGGAGAGAAGAAAATATTTTATTATGCAGTACAAAGGCGACAATGTATTTACAGGTGTATAAAAACTCTTTACTGTTTCTTTTCAATTCTAGAAAAAGATTGAACACTAAAAACACTGTCTGTCAGAAAACGCGATCAAGATTTGATGACCTTATATCACATGCGAACCTATACAAGTAACGCTGACATTCTTTAATAAAGGAATGAAAACTTATAAGTAATGCTGAGAAACACTGTAATGGACATTATTCATCCTGAATGGCAGCAAAGTCAACAAAAAGACCTGAAGCAAGCATGAAAATAATCAGTCATGTCAGGTTCCTGTAGGCTGCCTTATTTTTAATATTCAATCAAGTCTAAGTATACAGGAACTGATCTTCATTATAATCAATGAGTATCTGTTATTCCACCATACTTAGTTGCCATTACAAAATGAAACTGCTGCTGTAAGGTAGACTGGGAGGCAGTTTATTCGAATCTGGCATTCAGTAATTATCCAGCTGAAATCAATCCTTATTTGACAGTAAAGTGAATGAACAGGAATGTATAAGCAGTAAGTAATACCTGGCACATGCAGACGCACATTGCCATCTCACCAGATTCGTGTTTATTCTATAAATGCTATTTATCAATAAGGCGAATTTGAGTTGACTTTAAAGAACCGTAAATAATTACTATAGTTTATCTCGAGTGAGAACATAGAAAATGATGAAGATAGAAAAAGACCAAAATAAGAAAATCCGTTGATTAAATAAAATTAACTCACTTCAGAAAACCATTTGTAACAAACCTTATATCCATATTTATAACAGTATGTGTTTGGCATATTATCAAAAATGTTTCTCCAAAAATATCCCTTAGCTTTTCCAACATTAAAATGAAGCATACTGTATTGCAGTCAAGCTAATAAAACCACCCCGAATAGTCCATAAATAAAATCCTGCTTCTCAGACCGAATGTACTCAAAAATTATTGAAATGAAAATCACGAAACGGTATGCTTTAAATTAGTTGAAAAATACGCTCAACAAACCTAGTGTTTGTGCACATAATCGTGATCCCCCTCGATCATTCACAATTCAGATTGATATATTTCACTCTTGAATCACACATAACAAACAATCTCTAGCACAAAAAGATGCACAAAATTATTCCACATCAAAAAATCAAACAACTCATCGAACATTCAAAAATACTTCATAAAACCACAATACAAACAACATTCACAGAAAACCATCAACACTACAAAAACTCACTGATTTGTAAGCCACAACAACGTTGCTGCAAACACCTACGCGCTCCTCACTCACTCACTCACTCACTCAGTCACTCAATTAGTCTCAAATTATTGTACTTACTACTATCCACATTCCAAAGCACCTAACCACCATCATCATCATCATCCACTTGTTTCGTCCTTCAAAAACTAATACACAACCTCAGATCTGTCC